AAATGCAGCTCTGAATTGTAGGTCGAATGTTGTTCAACCTGGTGGACTGTGTGGGCAGTTTTTCAACAAGCTTTAAGTTGTAGGTCAAATGAATTGATTTTATAATGGCTTTCTCTAGGTGCTGTATTTGTATTATGTAATATTTATTTTCTCTTATCATGATGTTTTTGAAGGTGCTGCTTACTTCTGGTCCTCAAGCAGAGGGGGTGTCTCTGAAGCCCCGTCTGGAGGGGCTGCTAGGCGTCACCTGGAGTCCCGCCGGGAGCTGCTGTGGCCAGCCATGAGCCAGTGTGCGGCCCCGGCTTGGAACCATCTCTTAGCACTACCCAGAGGAAAAACCAAGACGCCCTTCTGTTGGAAGAAGTAATTTTAGTTGGAAAGTCTGAACTGATAAAGCCAAGGTACAGAAACTTTGGTAAAATGACTTAATCCTACCATCCATGTCATTTGCTGTGTTTTCTCATCTCTTTCCTAGTGTACTTTATATAAACTTGTAATCATACTCTGAGAACAATTCTATATCCCGCTATCTTTAATCAAGTTTATAAGCAATCTTTTTGTTACTACATAGTCTTTAAAACCATAATTTTAACAGGCTGCTTAACACTCTATAAAATGTTTATTTGGAAAATTCTCACTACTGTAATGACACTGGCCAACAGCTCCTGCCACCTGCCACACAGACCCGCGTAACAGAGCCTAAACTGATCCTGTTGTCAGAACTCTCACCAAACTCGAATCTCTTCCCCTAAACGGAACCAGTTTCCGTGCCCTTGACGGATGAGATGCCTGTTGTACCACAATTTATCATGGATGTTTTATAACAAAATGGGTCAGCAATCATTTTCATTACACAATCTGACCATGAGCAAGGTGGGTTATCCTCTCATTGAGTTATAATATTCTTTCACCTTCATCGAGCAGAATAGTAATGGTTTTCCTATCAATTTGACTGATCTCACTACATGATGAGATTCTTCAGCCTCTCTGGGGTACAAGAACTTAGCAAGAACAGTGATACTCTCAATCTTTCTATTATCAAAGACTTTTTTTTATTGTTTTCCCTATAAAGCCTATGTTCATTTGTACTTTGATGCATTTTACCACCTTATTAATCAAAGGCATATTTAATTGCCAAAGAGCAGCTGGTGAGTGTTGAATGATTTGATGTAATTCCACTAAAAGTAAAGACCGTTTTAGCTGATTTGCGCAGTTTAGGTGATTGCTTGGGGGTCCCCGTGACAATTCCCACTTCTCAGATGGTCTGAACCTGCTCCACCTTCTTCCTGAAATCATGGCAGGGCCCAGACCCTGCTGGCGTGCCAGCTTCCTGGGAGTAGGGGTTATGGAGAGGAGGTGTCTCTTCATCTACCCTGCTTCCCAGGGCCTCAGGCACCTCGAGCTCATCCACTTTTACAAAGTCACATTAGGATTCAGAGCTCTGAGGAACTCACAGGGATTCTCCATATGACGAGCCGGGTGGGATCACAGCTGCTTTCCTGTGGGTGGTGGCCAGATTTCCACAGTGTGATATCTTTGGTTTGTGATATTCCTGTGGGCCCAGCCTTTAGCAGTTGAAGTGCTTTATTTTGCTTAGGTGTTGGGCCTGGACCCACAAGAATCAGAATTTAATGACAGTGGTAGCAGGTGGGCCAGACTGGCCCGTATGCTGATGGCCTGCCCATTGCGGGGGCCCTGGACCAGGCAGACCTGCTCTGGGCATGGCTGCACCTCATTCAGGGTATTTAGGTTCTCTGGCCGCACTGTTCCCTTCTGCAGAAGGAGACAGCAGCTCTCCCTTTAGAGTCGCTGTGAGGTTAAGTGAAACAGTGCTTCCTTGGTGGCTCAGAAGGTGAAGAATCCGCCTGTAGTGCAGGAAACCTGGGTTCAGTCCCTAGGGCAGGAAGATCCCCTGGAGAAGGAAACACAACCCACTCTAGTATTCTTGCCTGAAGAATTCCATGGATAGATGAGCCTAGAGACCTAAATGAAATAAACACTTATAAAAGTGCTCAGTAGAAGCATGTGTAGTATTAATTCTTGGCAGTTTTGTTTCTGCTATCCAGAGAAAAAGAGTTATCTGTTGAATCCAATTTTATAGATTTCTGAAGGCTCAGACCAAGGCAAATCCCAAGGGGTAACAAGTTTACAGGAAAACTTGCTGACATCCCAGGTAGAAAATTTTCTGACTAAATCTTTCAGCAGTTACATCTGGCCTCACCCTGTCAGGTGCGGGTCTGTGTCTGCACTAACCAGCAAGTCTAAGGCAGTGACTGTCAGTGCTTCCGAGAGACACAAGGCCTTTAGTGCAGGGGCTGGTCCTCTGTGTCCGTGCCCCGTGAGGTGGACGGCACACACACTGTCTCTTCTCCCACCTAGATTCTTGGGGGCTGGAAGAGGGCAGGACCAGGTGTGGGAGCGCTTGTGTCAGCTGATTCTTTGTGTGGCAGCCATGAACCAAAAAAAGAAATTCTATCTTGATTTGGTCACTTATTGTCATGAGGTTTTATTTTTGCTGCGTTGTGGTGAACCAGACCACTACTTTGTGCTTGCCTGGGGCACAGAAGCCCCACCGTGCCCGGGACCCAGGACAGGTGGGTGCAGCTGACTGTGTGGAGCCCAGACCCAGTTTCCAGTCAGATGAAGTCACCACAAGCGTCCACTGTTTGCAGCTAACATCACTGGACCTTAGAGTTGCGATAAGGAAAGCGCGAGGCGCCCGTGAGGACCTGGGAGGGGTGTGGCGACACCCTGCACACATCTTTGTGTGAACAGAGGAGAAGAGAGAAATAAGAGGAGGAGGAAGAGAAATCGAGAGTTAATAAAGGACTGGTGATTCCAGCTTCCAATCTTTCTCTTCTTTGAAATCAGTGTCCCTGGGGCTGCTGAGCCCCTGGGTGCCAGGATTTTCGTGAACAGGATGGCAGTTCTAGAAAATAATAGATTCCACATATAATAGATAACCTACCTTCATCATTCTTCCAGCACATGTAAAGTATGCTGAAGATTACACCCCACGACCTTCATGCTCTGCGGTGATAGTCAGGTAATAGGTGCTGTTCTTCTCAGCGTCTGCAAGGGGATGAGTGTGAGCCAGTGGGGACACTCCACACTGACTGGTCCTCCTGGGGTGCCTGGGCCTGATTTCAGCAGTTCCCGAGGCTCGGCACCTTCCCGTAGTCGGGATCTCCTTCCACTCCTAGCGCTGAGTTAGGGCAGGTACCAGGTCCACTGTCCTCACCTGACATGCTGGAAGTAGGAGGACTGGGAACACTGTCAGTCTGTAGACTTTGGGTGGCCTAACTTCAGGACTGCAGCAGGGAGCTTGCCTGACGTCGTGTTGTCCATTCTGGTGAGCTTTCCTCCCCTGGTGGCTGAGCTGCGGAGGGGTCCTTCTGCCCCTGGGCAGCAGTAAATCATCAGGACCTTGGCTGCTGGCCCCACTCTGGCCCCAGAAATGTGGCCAGCAAGAGCATCTGACGCAGACAAGCAGGCCCGACGGAGACGAGCAGGCCCGACGCGGACCGGCAGGCCCGACGGAGACGAGCAGGCCCGACAGAGACAAGCAGGCCCGATGGAGACAGAAGTGCTGTCTCTGCCAATGGGCTGGCGGGAGAGGAGGCCCCCAGAGCCTGCCACACATCCTCCGGGTGGAGGCGGCAGGGCGTCTCAGCCCAGCGGCAGGAATCAGGAAGCAGTGACCTTGCTGTTTAGCTCAACTTCTTCCTCTAATTATTCCAGAGCAGCCACCCTAGAATAGAACAGTGAAAGTGAAGAGCATGGACAGTCACTCTGAGTGGCTTCCTGAGTGGCCGCCCAGAGGACAGTCCTTATGGACCCTGGGGACGAAGGCCCAGCCTGCGTCTGATTCATGGTCTCTCTGGGGTAGATGCCTCCCCCTCCCCACCAGGACACCGAATTGACCTCTGCCTGGCAGGGTCTGGTGGACGAGCCAAGTGTCGCACTGGAAGCAATGGGGCCCTTGTGTCACAACACTAGGGTGAGCCAGCAGACACTGGATGGAGCAGCACACTCACTGGCCCGGGAACTGGGGCGATTCTGCGGCTTGTGGCCGTGTTGGGAGGGAAGCTGACAGGCAGCTGCTGGGGCCACGGAGGGCAGAAAGCAAGGGAGGCCCTCTGCAGGCCCAAGGCTCTCGGCATGGAGGCAGGGCCCTGAGTGCCCTGTGGTCTTGGGGGGTGGAGGGCAGGGGCTGGCCTGGCCACTCCTGGAACTGGCCTCCTCAAGTCTAGTGGCAAAGAGCAGGGTGTGTGGCCGTTGCTCAGTCTGACGTCTGTTGCCCAGTGGGCTGGCCCTCGCTTCCTGGCCTGGGTCCTGCCGACGTGGACAGCAGACCTTCCCGGCGTGAGCCATCTCCCGCACTGTGCGGCTTGCCATTTAGTAAAGGAGAAGGAACGCGGTGTCTTCGGGACCTGGCCCCGTGAGATCTCTGCATCCACCCTGACCTGAAGGAGGGACCCCTGGACGCTGAGAATCAGTAAAAGCCTTGTGGGGCCACGCTCCCAGGTAGAAAGAGGAGGCTCAGCTAAACCTGAATTTCAGATGGACTAGAAATTTTGTTACTAGAAAGTGTGACCTAGATATTGCATGGGATGAAGCTATGCTAAAAAATTCATTGTTTATCTGAAACTCACAATTAATTGTACGTCCTGCACTTTTATTTGCTAAATCTGGACACAATCCAGAGGGCCTTCTCTGAAGCTTCATTTTGGGAGAAAATGGCCCAGAACAGAAAGCTGGCCCCAGGGCTGGGGGTGGGGCGGGTGCGGTGACAGGTGACAGAGGCGCGTGCAGCTCCAGCAGGCCTGGCCGTGATTTATCGTAACACAAGGGGAGGTATTTTCGGCGCCGGCCTCTGCCAGGGCTTAACTCGGGCTTCAGAAGTTTCTTCTCCAAAGCAGCTGGTCTATTTCTAGGGAGCGACTTGCTTGCGTCGTGAGGCTGCCTGTTACTTTTAAGGGTGTTGGGCGGACGGCAAGGAGCAGCGAGGGTCAGGACTCAGGGTCGGCAGAGCGCTGGAGGCTCGGGCAGCGGCGTCAGCGCCAGTGGCCCATCCCACTCAGGAGGTTGGCCTCCCGGAGCGGCTGCGCAGACCAGCAGCTTCCGCTGACTTGGCAGGAGCTGAGCGGGTCCTGGCTCTCCTCAGGCGTGGAGCCTGCCGGGCTCCACGGAGCTTCCGCTCTGAACCTGTCCTATGACAATCAGCTCCAGGAGAGGGTGCCGAGTGGGCTGTTGGTCTCAAACGCTGCGTTCACTGAGCGGAGCCTTTAGACGGCCGCGTGTCCATCCTCAGGGCAAGCTCACAGAGACAGTGGGAAGTCACAGACTAGAGACCCTGATCAAAGTCGGTGCCAGGACACATGGCTGAGCCACAACAACAGCCTGCATCCAGCGATGTCTGTCCTATGGTGGAGAGACAGAGAGACAGGGAGACAGAGAGACAGAGAGATAGAGCAGAGACAGAGAGGGAGATAGAGAGAGAGACAGAGACAGGGAGAGACAGGGAGATAGAGAGGGAGAGAGGGACAGAGAGACACGGAGAGAAGGAGACAGAGGGAGACAGGGAGAGGCAGAGAGAGGCAGAGACGGAGAGGCTGAGTGTGGGGACGGAGAGCCCTCAGAACGCTGGGTGCCCCCGGCCTTTGCCCCTCAGACACCCCAGGCTTGGGTTGGCCCCCACTTCCTGGAAGGACCTGGCTATCCGAGGGCCCTGCTGGCCAGACTCTGAGCGAGGAGCGTCCTGGGGGCTGAGCCCCCGAGTTGCTCCCCCCCAGGACCCTTCCCGCCAGCCTCTCTGGGAGCCCCGGGCTCCTGACCCTGAAGCTTTCTGGTCTTGCCTTTACAGCACGCTTCCTGGGGTCTCTGAGGCTCAAAGCCCAGGAAGACCCCAGTTCACACTCCTAGGGCCTCTTGGTCTGTCTGTCCTGGGGACGGCCTGGTTCGTCTGCTCAGAGGCCCATGTGGCCGCCCGCCTCCTGATGAGGTTCTTCTGGCCTGAGCCCCCTCCTCGTGAGACCATGATTTCTCCTTGGGGCTTAGTTCTTTTTTGTGTTTAATCTCCAGTGTTCCCTGAAATGCTGACATAGTAGGTGCTTAATAAATGCTGATGGACTGAGTGCCCTCCATGGCGCCCTCCTGCTAGGCTGTGTAGAGATGTGACTTAAGTGTCATGCATGTCCAGACACTGTGTGTGCCCACGGGGCTGCAGGGAGGCCCTCAGCTCTGCGAGAGGGGGCGAGGCTTCAGAGGCGCCTCCCGGGGCCAGGGACAGGCTGGTCTCGGTCTGGAGCCACCCGATCCGAGGGCTGTTGTGGGGGGCAGGGGGCACAGAGGGCCAGGAGGGTGCTGAGGGCAGTTGTGGGGGTGGGGGGCACAGAGTCAGAGTCAGGGGGTGCCGAGGGCCATCGTGGGGGGCAGGGGCACAGAGACAGAGTCAGGGCAGGAGGCCTTCTCGGCCTCTCAGGAGCAGCGTTCAGCCTGCTGGCCCCTCCTGAGGGCCCCTGGGAGCCACGGGGGACCCCGCTTCTGTGCCACACATGCTCCCCTCCTACCTGGTGTTTGCGCTCCAGGACAGGAGGGGGGCAACCCTGCAGGTCTACATCTGCCCACTTGTGCTTGAGGATTCATTCAAAGGGAATTTTGCCAAATCTCATTAGGTCTGTTAGTTGGAGGAAGACTGTGGCAAACTGATGAAAAGCTAAATAGCTTGACATAAAACATATATTTAAGAAAAAGCAGTTTACTATTTCAGGTATTGTAGAAGCAGGTAAAAGAATGTTTTAAGAAAATTAATGTGATTTCAAAAGGAACAGTAGGTGATACTTGGAGTGTCACTTATTGGCACATTGGTGTCAATACTTCTACAGTTGACCTTCCCAGAAAGATTACACTTGTGCTTTGCTTTTCCAGGGAAAATCCGAGTAAAAGTCCACCTGCCATGCTGGGTGGGTCATCTCCCTTCAGGGGCCTCACGACCTCACTGGCTGCAGGAGGAAATCATGTCCCCCTGGTCTGTCTTTTCCTCTCACTCTATCCACAGTAATACTGAACACAACTCGCACCTCATGGAAAACTACTGGGTCCTTCAAGGCCCAGATCACAGCACCTCCTCCAGGAAGACCTTACTCCTCTGGAGTCTGTCTCCTCTCCAGTCTGCAATCTTCACTGGGGTTGATGTGTCTTTCATCTCTTTCCTCTGCTTCTAGCACATTCCTGGCACATGTTAGGTACTTATTGAATTTACACATGGTCAATAAGTTTAGAAATGTAAAGAACTGAATTTGTATTTGCATCAGATTTTCTCTGTATCCAATTTACAGGATTCATGACCTCTGTCAGGTACAGGAAAACAACAATGGCTGACTTTGTAAGACATGCGCCATCCTTGTTTAACTCCCTGTCTCCCAGGGCCCAAGTGGCAGGCAAACAGCGGGAAAATGCTGTTTCCGCTGAGCTTCTTTCCTGGAATCATTAGCCCAGCGTCGTCTGCTGGGTGAGGGTGGGTCCTGGCCGGCCACCTTCCCTCCGCCACAGATGACAGTGGTCCCCGCACGTCCCCTTGATAGTCACAGTTCTGCCTCCTGACGATGGCTGAGAGCCAGGGCGGGGGAGGGTGGAAGCTGGCCCCACCCTGCAGTTTTCTTGTGTCAGAATCTCATTGGCAAATAGGGGAGAGTACACTTTGTTTTTCTTGGAAATTTCAGCTAAGAATCTGTTAGTGTCTTACAAAGAGCATACTGGCCCACAGAGGCAAATCATCACCTCAGGCTAGCTAGCTAGCTAGCTAAGTCACTTCAGTCGTGTCCGACTCTGTGAAACCCCATAGACAGCAGCCCACCAGGCTCTCCCATCCCTGGGATTCTCCAGGCAAGAACACTGGAGTGGGTTGCCATTTCCTTCTCCAATGCATGAAAGTGAAAGTGAAAGTGAAAGTGAAGTCCCTCAGTCATATCCGACTCTTAGCGACGCCACGGACTGCAGCGTACCAGGCTCCTCCGTCCATGGGATTCTCCAGGCAAGAGTACTGGAGTGGGGTGCCATTGTCTTCTCAGGCAGAGTGACGCTTCTCAGGGTCACAGTGAAAGCCTGAGCTCCTGCTTCCCACTTACTCAAAGACCACTAGTCACGTGGACTTGATCTCTGCATGCCCCGGTGGCTTCGTCCCCCAAGAGAACAGTCAGTCGGAAGGTGGACTGCCATGCCGGCCTTGAGAGGTTTACATCCTGGTGGCTCTTATGTTAGGCGGATTTGTTCTGTCCTTGGGCTGGGTCTGTGGATCTAATAGCAGAGAGCCAGGCCGAGGGTGCTCTGTGCAAGCGGAGGGCTCACTCAGCACCAGGGGCCTGATCCAGCGTGGTGCGATTCCACGCGGCCACCCATATTTCCTTCCTCCGAATCGTCTTTTGTTGCAGCTTAAACTTGCCCCTCAAAGGCTGGTGGTCTGGGGCTGTATATGCAGACTTCCAAGAAGTCTGTTTAGGGTCAAGTGGTCATTTTAATAGAGACTCTGATACACACGCTAAACAATCAATGAGCTGACTAATGATGAGGATGGCAGCGTCGCCGGGGTGAACCAAGGCTGGAGAAAGGCCATCTCAAGTGCGTGCGTGCGCTGCGTGTCTGTCGCGTGTCAGGGTTTGTTGTCACTAGGGCCCTCAGCTCCCCGAGGGCCCACTCCAGCGATGCTCAGCCTCTGCCGGTGTGTCCGCTCCCTGGTTGGTGGGGACAGGAAGGCCTCCTTGGGCACTCAAGAGAGCCGTGGTAGGTGGTCCCAGCTGTCCCCACAGTAAACACCCGCCCCCCCCCCCCCCGCCGTGGGGTCCCGCTTCGCAGTAACGGGGCCAGATCTGAGAGCCTGTTGGCTGTGCAGCACAAGCTCCTGGGCGCAGTGGTGTCCCCAGGAGCCCCCCTCACTGAGGGCCCCCTGGCCTGCTGCAGGGCGGGCCTCCCGCCCCATCCGACGTCTTCTGAGAGTCCATCCCATGCTGGGGCCTCCCTCACGCGGCAGGCCAGACTGTCCCTGGGACACAGCCGTCCCTCCCGGGGCAGGACCCTCCATCCCGGGCTCTGGAGCCCTGCCAGCTGCAAAGGCCGCTGACAGATGGCCAGGACGGCCTCCAGGGAAGCAAGAGGCTCGACGAGACCTTCCTGGTGGAGATGCCGTGGCTCATGTGCTCGAGTGATGACCGACAGGACCCCGGGACCCCACAGCCAGGACACCCTGCGCCTCTCCAGGTGGGGGCGGGCGAGCCGCTGTCTCCCGGCTCTTCTCGCTGCAGCCAGCCTGGTGCCTAGCCGAGAGTCCCTGCTGCTCACGTGCTCACCCTGTGCCTCAAGGACTGCTGGGCGGGACCAGAGCCTCTGGGGTCCTTGCCCTCTCGGGTAGGGCCTAAACGGGGTGTGTGGGTCCTGTGACGGGCGGGGGGGGGGGGCGCAGTGAGCGTGTCCCCACCTGCGTGGACGATGTGGGCCGTAGGCTCACCGTGAAGCGACTTCTCCTGTTGGACACGTCTTGCCTTCGAGGGCCCCAGTTACATCAACCTGGAGAGGGCGGAGGGTCACACAGGAGGTGTTCCGCATGTTTTCCCCAGACAAATGCTGCTGCTTCTTAGTACCATCATGTCCTTTTCCAGATGAGAGGCATCCTTGGTGAGTCAGGAACGAAGCGGCCCCAGGAGCAGGAAGCCCAGGAGAGAAATAGAAACGGCGTCTGAACAGCAGACCCGGCTCAGCTGTAGGAACAAGCTGTCATCTGGTCCCGATCCAGGCAGGGCCTGTTGGCTTCACTTCCGCTTTAATTTTATTTGAAGCAAAGAGCTATCATTGGTGTCTGTTGGTCCAAGAAGCTCCCCGCGTTTCCTACTGGGGTTGAGCACTGCCAGCCCTGCCTCCAGGCCTCTTCCTTTCCTCCTCTTTCACCTGAGCGTTCTTACAGCCACGTCTGGAAAGAGGGTCAGAGCACAGGCCTCACTGTCATGGGAGGAGCTGTGAGGCTTTTAATTAAAAAGAATTGGGCTCGGAGAGGAAAGCCCCAGGCGTCATGGCAACCAAGGATCTCCTTCCAGACTCAGTTAAAAGGCCATGCAGCAGCCCCTCTGCATCTGGTCTTAGGAAATCCACCCGTTCTCTGGGCTGTTTCTCCCATTCAATACAGCTTTTATGAAGTAGTCTGCCTCCACACCTTGAGGGCCTTGGAACAGGTGCTGTCATTTTGACACACGGCACAGAGTCTAGCTAAGAGTCGGATGTGGTTTGTGCATCCTTGTTGGGGTTGCCCCGGCCCCTCCGGCACCCTGAACCTTCAGCAGTTCTGGGCACGTGGTGGGCCTGCCCACTGCCCAAGGAGCACCAGCCCTAGGGCTGGTCTCTGAGCCTTTGGGTTTATGGCTTTCCGAACTGTTTTCTTAAAAGTAAAGTGTGCCCAACGAGAGCATATGAAAAGATGAGTAAATAAGAATCATTTTTCTTTAGATAAGCCCTTAAGGAAAATGCAAAAGCCCGTGGTCCACAGGCCAGGCCTTGGGGTGAGTGCTTGTACAGGGTCCTCCTAGAGCCCTTCCCGGTGTCCCACCTGCGGTGGGCAGCTGTGGTTCCCCCAGGGGAGGGTGCGACACGCTGTAGGTTCTGTGCCTCAGGGGTGACTCTGGCAAAGCTGCTGCTCTGTTGCGAGAGGCTCTTAGAGAAGCAAAGAGAGAATCTGCCTACATAGCACCCAGGACAGGCAACTCCCAGTGTAGAAAAGTGAAGCTCCAAGACTCTGCGACGGCCATGGCCGCTGCCCTGGCCCCTGACAAACAGATGTCTCAAAGTCACAGCCGGGCGTCTCAGTGCTGCTGCCCCTCCCGAGCGCGGGCGTCCATGAATGTTTGCACCAGAGGCCGTGAGTGTGGTGTGGTGGTCCTGCCTCAGGTCCCCCCCAGCTGTCTCGTCAAGAGCCATCTGAGCCCCTGTGACTCAGTCACTCTCAACTTCAAGGGAGGAGTGTGTCTTCTGGGTGAGAAGCAAAACTTGAGTCAGAGGCTGGATTTTGGTCTGGGTTTGGGCTTGGCCTGTGTCTCCCAAGGTCTGACTATAGTAGGGAATCTGTGTTCCTGGGTGGGGGGCCTCCCACCGCGGGGCCAGTCAAGGGCGTTTAGTGGCCAATGTAAATCAGGAGAGGGGACCGGGGCCTATCTAGAGTCTGGCAGAGGACGGGCCCCTCTGAGCCCTGGTGGTGTGACAGAGGCTGACTTCCTGTGTCAGCTCCAAGCATCTCCTCCCCTCCAGGCTTAGAGGCTGACAGCCATGTCCCCAGCCCACGACCCCAGCCACGGTCCCGTCCACTAGATGGACAGCAGGGGGATGGGGCGCCTGAGAGGCTGTGCAGCAGACCCTCTGCCCAGGGTCACCAGTGCCGGCCTGACTTGAGGACTGGTGGCCAGAGCAGCAGGGGGTGGGCTCAGAGCCTCCCGGGCACCCTTTCTCATCCTCTGCATCCCGTCTCTTCCCTCCCTCTCTGGGGCCAAAGGGAGAAGATACCCAGGCAATGAAAGGTGAGAAGGAGTGACGGGCGGGTGGAGGTGCCTGGGGGTGTGCTCTGCACCGGGAAGGCCTGAGCCCAGGTCTGGGGGGTCAGCTGACCCCCAGCAACGACACTAGAGGAGAGAGTGCATGTGAGCGCGAGTAAGCGAGTGTGTGAATAAAGGGAGTGGGGACAGGGGGGTGGGGGCGGCAGGGAGTAAGGGGAGGTTCTGGGTGTGAGGAGAGAGAAAGCTGACAGAGACTGCAAGCGCTCTGCTGAGGCCCCCAGGCCCCGGGGAGGCCCCCGGTGGGCAGGGCTGGGCAGCGTCAGGCCTGCTCCCTGAGAGGAGGAAGCCAGCCCTCTGCTCCCAGCTCCCCCACCTCACTTGTCCCACTTGTCGTCGGCCACGGTGGCCTCGGCTCAACCTGACTCGGGGTGGAGTGTGTGCCCCCCGCCCCCGCAGGGCTTCAGGGAGCCTGTGGGTGCAGTCAGCATTCCCAGAAGTAGGACTTGGCCCCTCCAGCCTGGGTCAGGTGAACGCGGCCTCACGGATGGATGGGCAGCTGTGCCGTGTCTCTGCACGGCCACCACAGCCCCAGACCCACCTGCAGGCCCCAGCCCCGAAGCCTGCTGTGTGCCAGGCAGCCGGACGCCCACCAGTGAGCCCCAACCACGGCCCCCACACAGGCTGCCTGAGGTTCCCGCATAGCGGGGGGCGGCCAGGCTGTCTTGGGCAGCGTGGAGACGGGAGAGTCAGCCCAGGACTTGGGTGCACACCGCAGGCGGGCCGTCTTTCCTGGGAACTCGTATCTGACTTTTCTGTTCCTTTCTGTCCAGAAGACACGTGGCGTCACCAAGACAGGAGCAAGGTGGGCAGGGGGTGCAGGATCTGCGAGTCCGCAGGCCCAGGGAGCGTCCCTCCCAGAGACCGAGATGCTCCTGGGCTCAGCCTGTCTTTCATTGGCAACAAGATGCCAGTGGGGATTGGGCACTTTGTAGCTAGTAATAGGAGAAGGGGTGACGACACACCTGGGTTTGAGAGGTAAACTGCCGAACCTGTAAAGGTGGCATCTCACCTGGGAGGGACGTACCCACTGCACAGATTCCTTGCATGCCTGCAGGGCACACTGGCCCCAGGCTGGGGGCTCCCAGGGAGCCTGGACTGGGGCACAGGCAGAAGTCACTCTTGGAATGGAGCCACATGGGACAACAGAGCTCAGACCCTCGAGGGTCATTCCTGCTGTCTTATACGTCTGTAAGACAGTCTGAGAACACCCCGATTAGTCTGTCAGAGGACAGCTACATTCCTGCTTGCTGTTCCGTGTGATCTAACCTGCTGCAATCTCCCTGAATTCTGTGGATTTGTTTTTTTCTCATCCATGTTTGCAGTCAAAGACTTTGAGGAGTAAGCTGGGTTCAGATGTGGTTCCCGACACCACTCTGTCCCTTACAGGCACCCACGCTGGGCACGCCCCTCTCTTTACAAAGTGCCAGTTATTTGCAAACGTAGAGAATCCAGAATCACTGAGCTGACACTCAGTGTGGTAGTACTTAGGAACATTAGAAATGCTTTAACTTCAGGAAATCTATTCCTGCTCAGTTCTTTACAAATCTGATTCCTACGGGACCCTGGAGCCTAAAACAAAGGCCCACACAGGTGGAGGCGAGGGGACCTTGGGGTGGCAGCAGCGTATCAGGCTGGATGAGCTCACGCTGCACTGGGGACGTGGGACGGAGCAGAGGGGAGTGCGTGGGGGCCCACGGACGCCGGCTCTCCTCATCGCCCAGACAGGCTGAGGGAAGGAAGGGCGGGTCCCCGCGGAAGCCCACTGACGTGCGGGGTTGGGCAGAAGGACACGAGAGCTGACAGCCACAAGCGCCAGGCTGCACCCCATTAGCAGGAGGTGCTTACGGAGCAGACACGTAAGTAGCAGCGTCCACGCACATGTCTTATCACAGGGCTCAGTGGTACATCAGGACCAGGAGGAACACAAGGTGTCCTTTCACAGCATCTTAAATTACAACATGAGAGAGGAGAAAGCTGCCTGTCAGAAAGCATCTCTGTTTCTCTGAGAGCGAGTGCTGTTTTGACAGCGCCCACTGGCTAGTGTCATCGGTGTCTTTGTAAACTTCCCTAGAAATGGGCCGTCCCGCCCACCCAACAGCCCTCCCTCTCAATCTGCTCCTCCTGCAGGGCTTAATTGAATGTCCTGATGCGGACGAAAAGGGTTAATGGCAGAGCCCAATCGCACAATATCTTGGATTACAGACAGCCAGCGAGCACAGGCCGGCAGCATGGCAACGGGCCGCACCGTGGGAACGCGGCCGACAATGATGGGATTGACAGTGAGCGTGGAGAGGCCACCTTTGGGAGAGATCGCATCCCACAGCGAGCGGGGAAAGTGAGAAATAGTAGCAGATGCTGCGGGCAATGAGCAACAGATGCCTTCTGGCCGGGGCTGGCCAGCCAACCCGCTCCCACCGCCCGCAGGGAAGGGCCTCCCCGCCCCGCCTTTGTCGGAGGGAGGCAGCAAACACAAATATTGCAGAGGAATTAAAAACAGCAGATGGTGGCAGCAGGATTTGATGAGATCAGGGTCAGGTACGGCACACATTTGGTGGCAGCGTTAATCGCTGCCCTGGGGGAGTGGGAAGTTCAGGCCCCGCCCGCGTCAGCCGCTCAGGTTTGCTTGCCCTCCCCTCCCCACTACCGCAGGCTGACCTCTGGATTGGCTCTGGGTGTCCCATCAGGTTTAGCGGAGTTCAGAGAGAACATATGCTGATATTTTGTTAA